ACTGTATACTACATACCTAAATTGGACAATACATCAAAAGCCCTAAAAAAGTTAATTACGAACGTATTTAATAATAAAAATATTCATTTAGTTAATTAATGCTGAAATAATAATTCCGGCGACCATAGTTTAGCCACTTTCAATAAAACAACGTCGAAAAATTAGAAATGCAGTGATAAAATCCACAAATATACTCATAATGTTTTGCAGATTTTAAGGGGGGAGGGAGATAAGCGGATGGAGTTTTAAGCTTAAATTGTAAAACAACATTATAAAATTTGGATTTTTTTTTGAAAATCTGGGCGTCCAAGGTAAAAATTCAAGTCGGATTCATAAACCACAAGTGTAGGAGTATGTTATTTTATAAAATTTAAATAACATTTACAATGCAAAATTTTGAGGTCATCACATTGTTGGTTAGACAAAGTTTGGTTAGCGTTTGACCATATACACTATATTTATAAAGTCCATATAAAATTTGACAGACGACATACGGCAGACAGGTAGGCGACAACGGGAGACCTATTTTTTCGTACTATGAGGGTCTTGAAACGTCGACAAAACATGAAAGTTGCCTGACGCCCGCTTGGAAAGTAGATTATATTTGCAAACTTATAGCGTCACTGCTGAAAATCAAAAAGTGACTTATGAAGACAAAAAAATAAAAAATATGCACTGAACTTAGCGAGATTCCTAAACATCAATAAGGTCGATCATCTGAATCGGCGTAGACTCGAGTTTTTCAATCAAGGTTTTTTTAAAATTTTTGAAATGGTACAGTCAAATTTTTGTCAAAAAGATATATTAATTTGACAATCCAACTCGAAAATTTTTAACCAATACAATGGCAGAATTGTTTGAAATTTGTCCAATGGCATTCACCGAAAAATTTTTTCAGTGAAAAAACATTCTTCTGTCAGGCAACAACACTGTTTTTCAGCGAAATAAATTATGTCAAATTAATTTGTCAAACTTGTCAAATGAACTTTAATAAAAAAAACGATAATACAAATTATTTTTCTGTTGGCGTTAAAGGCATAATCTTCCAAAATACTGGCCACCTCGTTCATTCCGACTGCTTTATTTATAGCAAACTACCGTATTTCACAAAATTCTGTAAACTGCTTCGAAATTGAATCTTGCGTTCTTGCGGTCTTCCGGCACTGACTTTCTTTCACTGCATTTCGAATTTCATACACAGTCTTATTACCAAATCTTGCTCCCAGAATTAAGAAAATCAACCAGCAGCACACACAAAATTTGATGTTTAGAAATTTATTTACGTTTTGCTTTGTTGTTTTGTTACTATTTAGACTAAGTAGGTATGGTTACTCAACGAATACGCTAACTATAAATTATGTGAATTATTGTCCGTAAAAAGTAAATAAAAATTTTCTCTTTGGATTGTCAAGCCGAATATAACTCGTGATCTGATTTTTTCTGCAAAATTTGTGTGAAAATTAACTCGTAGCTGTTGCTTTTGGAAAATCACACTCGTCTCCTTCGTCGACTCGTGTGATTTTCGTCGCAACAGCTACTCGTTAATTTGTGTCACAAATTTTGTCGGAAAAAATCAGACCACTTGTTATATTATATTTGAAAAAATATTCAATAGGTTGGATTTTAGTAATTTCATTAAAAATTAAAAACCCATTCCTTTGTGCAATTTGTTAACTTAAAAGTTTTCTTAATGACGGCAGACGACGGAAGCGGGAGACCTATTTTTTGGTACTCTAGGGGTTATGAAACGTCAGGAAACACGAAAATAGCAATTCGGAGGATGAATCCGATTATTGTACATTTCCTGAGATACCCACGCTCGGGAAGTTAAAACAAATAGCATAATTTGTTTCATGAATAAAAAGTTAGTACCTAAAGTGCCTAGTCTGTTTTTTTTAAGCCTTTTTTCTCTACTTTTAAGTGGCCTATTTTAGGAGCTTTTTTGGGTCTTTGTTCAACATAGAATCCACCGCTCTCTACTAATTGTGTTTTTAAAGGTGCTATGACGTGAGCTATGACGTCAAATGCATTTTTTTTAATAGAATACTATAGTTTTTATGTTATTTATAATTTATACATAATACCTTATTCAAAGACTTTTTCAAGGAAACCATAATTTTTACCCGTATTTTCAAGGGTTTTTGAGATTATTGCATTTTTACGCTCCAGTCAAACAATCTACACAATTAAAAAAATTGGTCGAAAGTTGTTTTGACAGAACTTCCCTCGCTCCTAAAGTACAATGAAAAATATCCAGCACTTTACACAGTTTTGTGATGACTTCATCAACATTTTTGTGAGGACACGTATATCCACTTGGATTGGTGCAGTGTACCTAATACTAAAAATTATTGTAGTAGTACAGTATTGTATTCCCAAAATTTTCTGGGAAAACGGAGTGAGCCGTTTCTGATTTAATCAATTCATTAATTTTTTAAGCCACCTGTTTAAACAAATCTAAAAAATATGAATGCAATGATAAATCACAACTAAAAAGTCATCATATTTGGCACATTTTGGGTAGAATTTATTGGGCAAAATTTTGAGATGACGTCATCAATTTTTTGAGTGGAATAAACAGATATATTTTGATTAACAATTCACCATGTTTACAATAACTTTAAAACGACTGCAAGATTTCAAAGTATTTAGGTTTGCAACTTTTGATTTAATCAATTAAATATATTGAGTTATCAATGATTTTTTTTGAGTCATCCTGTATAAACAAATCTAAAAAATATTCATTGAATGATATTTTACATGTATAAACAGACCATATTTTGTACATTTAGATATGATTTATTCGCCAAAATTTTGAGGTGACGTCATCAATTTTTTAGGGGGATGAGCAAATACATTTTCGATCAAAAATTTACCATGCTTATGATAACTTTAAAACATATCCAAAATTTCAAAATATTCGGTTTTGTAGTTCCTAATTAAATCAATAAAATAAATTCACGCATTCATTAATTTTTTTGAGTCACCCTGTATAAGCAAATCCAAAAAAATATGAACGGAATGATAATTCACAAGTACAGACTCATCATATTTTGTACATTTTAGATAGGATTTATTCGTCAAAATTTTGAGCTGACGTCATCAATTTTTTGGAGGGATAAGTAAATATATTTTGACTAAAAATTTATCATGCTTATCATAACTTTAAAACATCTGTAAGGTTTCAAAACATTCGGTTTTGCAGGTTCAAAATTAAATTGCAAAATGTTGTTTTATAATTTTGATTTTTTTCCAAAAGTAAGGACGTTTCGGGTAAAAACTATATACAATTTTGAAATGACGTTGTCACATTATTGGTGGGGATGATTAGACAAATTCTGCTTAGTGTATCTGTCCAATAAAAACCCGTGATGGCAGACAGACAGACGGACAGACAGACAGACAGACGGAAACGGGAGACCTATTTCTTCGTACTCTAGGGGTCACGAAAGGTCGAGAAAACGTAAAATCAGAGAGTCGGCCGACGGACTCGACCTTTGCTTACGCTCAAGACAAACACGACAATACTTTCTGATTGTTCTTAAAAAGACCAAAATACGACTAATTTTCAATTTTGTTACTATTTAAAAAAAATTTACGGGTTTGTGTAATGCTTCTATACAAAATTCTTCATTTATTTTACTATTATCACGACAATTAGGTACTAAATTGATTTCATAAGTAGTTTTCACACTGTATAAAATGCGCATACTGCATGAACATGCATTTTTAGGTGCCTCAAACAATATATAGTTTTTTGTGATTAACTTAAGAATTGCTTTAAAAAATTATAAAAACAAAAAAGAGGAGAACAAATGATGTTTCTATTATAAAATAAAATATTCTATTTAACGCACTTAATAAAACAAAGAAAAACGATATAATATCTAGGATAAAAAATCAAGACGGATTAATAAACCATAAGTTAAAAAGTTTTTTTTATATAAAATTTAAATAAATTTTGTACTATACCGAATGTTAACGTGACGTCCTAGCATTGTCAGTGGGGATGATCAGACAAACTTTGGTGAGCGAATGTATATTATGTTTCATAGATTTATAGATGTGAATTAACCTTCTAAATTTCTATCTTTTCAAATAACTGAGATATTAAAGTGAGTGGAACAGATAACTGGGACACCCGGTGTAGGTGTTATCATAAAAAAACAAAATTTTGTAGAAGCAACTGTTACAATATATTTAAGAAACTGGGCTTATCTAACTGTGGTTTATAAGGTTTCGCTAAATAAATTTAGACCACCATTTGCGTTAAAACGTATAAATTTAATACAACGCCAACGGGAGAAAACTTGAGAACTTGAGGATGTAACATGCACATCCACATGGCATTTGTGACCAAACTTTTCCAAAAATAAAAAAGAATGTCGTAATATTACATCTATAAATAGCATAACTAAATTATGTATGCAACAATTAGAAAACAATTTTTTATATATTTTATTAGTAGCAGACTGAAATTCGAAGTAATTACATAGATAAAAAATAAATGAAACTTTCTTTATTTTGAAATAAGGAAAAGAATTATTACTGTTCTTATTCGCGTAAAAGGTAAATTTGAGGATTCGGATTTCACAATATTCTACGCTTAATGATACCCTTTTGTAAAATTTAGTCGGTATTCAGTTCATGCTACTGATCTAGGGGTACCAGAAAATATATAAGTGCCGCTTACAATAGCCGTGCGAAATTTCTATTCATTGGCTGTTGAAAGGAATAACTTAACGTTTGTCTAGAAATTTACAGTTCATTGACGCTGCGCAAAGAGGATTTGAAGAAAATCCGGTAAACAAAACTAGGAAGGAAATCAGCTTATCCGTTTTTGTTTAACTCGCGCCGATTGCGGTTTGCATAAATTGTTTGTAAATTTGGATATAAATGTCGTCGTAATGGCTTTCCGATCCGAACCGATTTTGCATTTACCGTAACCAACACTGTGTTTAATTTAACCGTTGTAATTGACTTGCTGTTATATTTTTCAGAACAAGCTCAGTCCAGAAGCGCGAAGTAAAAGAGCAGGAGCTTTGGGAGAATCTGGAGCGTCCCTCTCTATTGTAAATTCCTTGGACGTACTTCGCAACCGACTTTTACTGGAAATTGCAAGAAAGAAGGCCAAAGAAGGAGCTAATCGGAACCGACAGATCTTGTTATCACTGGGCAAAAGAGCATTTCTTCAATCACGAGCTTCCGGAAATTACGACAATAATGTATAAATCAAGCACAGGTTTCATCGAATTTGTCGATGAAATCTTCACCTGCTGCTTTCTTTCTTCGCTCTCCGTCTGTGACAACTGAATAGTTTTTCGAAATAGCTGAATATTAATTTTACTTAAAGTAATTGGATATATCAAAAAGAGTAGGAAATTTCCATCCGATAGAGTAATGGTAGTGATACAGGTGTCTCATAATATACACGTAAAGTCCTGTCTACACTAGGTAAACTATAGTCTGTCCACAACAACGTGAAGACGTAACAAAACAGTGATTCTGCATCATACGAGTATGTAATACTAGTCATTCTTCATGCAGTTTTCCTAATTTATTAAAAAGGCACCTGTATATTAAATTTTATTTGCTCATATCCACTTATGTTGACGCTTATCGGCCTATACAGTATTAAAATGCATAAATGTACCTAAATTTGTCTACCTTCTTAAAACGTATATAATGATTGAATGTTGATATTTTTTTAAGTAATATAAGTGTCCACAACGTTTGTAAGGAGAGGATTTGATCTGAATGATGTATATTTTGTGGACATACAACGACTATTTGTTCACATCTGTAACTTTCTTAGTAGCTAAATAATATTAAAATGTTCTGTTATAAAAGACACAGATATATAGTATATTTTATAATGTGTTTAATAATTGAATTTTTAATATGTAGATGTCTTCTGTTACTGATGTGTATCATATAATGTACAAAATAAATGGAATTAAAAACAATAAAAAAAAGTGTCGCATTTAATTTGTTATAATTCATCACTACTGAATGGACGTAAAAATCCTAATAACCTCGTATGGTAACCCAAACATCCCGCACAAACTTTCAAAACCAGAGAAAAACACAAAATTTGGCCTCGACCTGTGATTGTCAAGAAACTGGAACGCAAAGTGGTGAACCCTAAGCTTGGAAAAGTGCTCTTAAATCAAAATGCAAAATATGAAGGGCAACATTCCTCTGTTCTGAAGAGGGAAAATTTGGAAACTAGCTGCAAAAGAAACATAAAAAACAGATTAAATCTTAATTAAAGTATGACTGGATGGTAAAACTAATGGCAATCGATAAATCAGAAACTGAAGACCTTTTAACGAGAGCTAAATTTAAGTTCCTCGTTCTCCGATGATTTTACCAGTTTTACTCAATTGTCCAGTAAAACAACACGATTTCTTTATCCCCAAAAAATCTGCCGTATATTATACGCTCTACCCCGCCTTCGTAAAACATCCAACTATTACCAAACTGCCCGTTTCACGCGGACCCGGGACCCCCAATCAAGTTTACAATTTAACATCTGTTAGGGCAAATTGACTTGAGAAAAAAACCGTGAGCTTTAATTAGAAATAGTGTATTCCGTTTTCGCCACGAAATCTTGTGCTTTTTTGATGATAGTTCACGTTATAGCAAGCAGGAGCATTCCGTACGTTGTTCTGAAGGTCTACATTCTATCAATTAAGTAGATTAAATAAATAATTTTAACTTTTTTGCTTAACTAGCAATTTACGTATAATTAGCTTCAGTATACTCTGTCCAGTGACAGACAAAACTATTTTGAATTTTCCGCTATAATTAAAATGCTTAAAAACTTTAGCGCCAGGGCATAGTGCGAAAATTACAAAACGAAAAATCTGCAAGTTGGACATTTGACTCCCTCGCCCTTAATAAATAACACCCCATTCAAATCACAGCGTCTTTTTTAATGCTAAGACGTCGTCATCAAATTCTTGATGGGGATAATAAATGTATTCATTCTGATACGTACACTGTGATCACCAGATTTTAACTAAAATTTGAAAAAAGAATTCAGTCAAGAACATCGTTAAAGATATGCAACCATGTGCACGTTTAGCGCTTTTTGGGTAGTTGGTAGCTCTCTTAGGGAATTTCTGCTGAGAGGGTTGGTAGAAGTTGATTTGGAGGCTATAGGGGAAGCTTTGGTTTAACGACAATTATTAATCGTAGCGATGACGACGCCACAGTTTTCCCAACACGCGTAGCTAATTCTTGCGGTTTTGTCAAGCGGAAATATGCCAATTTCGACCGACGCTAACACGTGGTGTAAATTTGTTTTATCGTTTGTAAATTCACAGTTCATGTCAGGATTTTCATCGTTAACTAGTTCTAACACAATTTAACAGTCAGGTTTTTGTTCAGATACAGCACTTGCTAGCAGATTTCATGAAATTCACTTAGTCAGGACTCATCCTCTATTTTAACTGCCCATTCACAATGGACATAAGACATAAGAACGAGCGCATAACATAATTTACGTTTTTGGTTTGTGTCTGGCTTATGCTTATCTACGTTCACAATGGACAGAATGAACTTTGTAAGAATTGTTAAACTGCGCAAACGCAGAACGGAATAACTCCCGGCTAAACATAGAAACGGCTAACCTCAAACTGAATCAATCAAAATATCTAACCTACAATTTCATACGATATTCGAACTTGACAACTTGCAGTACAGAACAGACTCGCAGTGTGAAGCTTTGATAATAATTTATATAATATAATCAAAGGTGTGAAGTGCCAAGTGCCAACTGTCAAAGGGAATTCAATAGCAGCATTCAAAAGTCCCTAGATTTTAACATAATTTTGACATAATTCGTGCACAAAGTTGAACTTATTTCAACTTTGTGTACGCACACAAGGATTACATAAAACGTTCATAAGCATAAGAATTACGTTCGTCCACTGTGAACAAGGGTACACGTGTTCCATCGTTTCAACTTTATGTATTTATGTAAGCTTTATGTACTTGTTATGCCTTATGTCCATTGTGAATGGGCAGTTAAGGTTATAAATAAGCTTTCTGGATGCTTACTGCCCATTCACAATGGACATAAGACATAAGAACGAGCGCATAACATAATTTACGTTTTTGGTTTGTGTCTGGCTTATGCTTATCTACGTTCACAGTGGACAGAGTGAACTCTGTAAGAATTGTTAAACTGCGCAAACGTAGAACGGAATAACTCCCGACTAAACATAGAAACGGCTAACCTCAAACTGAGTAAATCAAAATATATAACCTACAATTTCATACGATATTCGAAGTTGACAACTCGCAGTACAAAACAGACTCGCAGTGTGAAGCTTTGATTATAATTTATATAATATAATCAAAGGTGTGAAGTGCCAAGTGCCAACTGTCAAAGGGAATTCAATAGCAGCATTCAAAAGTCCCTAGATTTTAACATAATTCGTGCACAAAGTTGAACTTATTTCAACTTTGTGTACGCACACAAGGATTACATAAAACGTTCATAAGCATAAGAATTACGTTCGTCCACTGTGAACAAGGGTACACGTTTTCCATCGTTTCAACTTTATGTATTTATGTAAGCTTTATGTACTTGTTATGCCTTATGTCCATTGTGAATGGGCAGTAACTGTAACTTAAATGTTACATTATAACACTTCTTAATTCCTCACACAAGATTGCTAATAGTTCATTCACGGCAGTTAAATCAACCTAACGTTGTCCCACTCTGGGAAAAGGACGTGCAAAGTGCGGTAGAATTTATAATTTCGTGGACTGAGGTTGGGGAGGATTAAATCTTTTTCCCTTAGGCAGTTATCATCGTTATCGTCATCACATCATCGAGACAATTCTCGCAACGAGGAATGCATTTTGTGTTTGTTTAGGATAAACTGGGGACAGTTCACGATATAAACTAATAGTTTTAAGTAACCAATCACTTGGATTATGACATAATTCTTTGCTTGAATCGTTGATAAAGTGTGGCATAATTTAACATCAGGTAAATTCTTTGTTCTGACAGTGACCATGTTGAAAAAGTATTTTCAAACCGAGCACATGGTTGAACTGTAAAATCTCGTTGAACAAATTAACAACGTTGTGGGTCATGTGGGACGTGCATTTTATTTCTTTGATTCAGACCATTATTTGCACAGCGCCACAGGATTGATCACATTTCTGGGAGACATATTTTTGGCGCATTTTTTTTTAACGACGCATTCGTCCAATGCCATTTTGAACCTCTACATTGCCTGCTATGTTTTTATGTGTTTGTTTGGAGGAATGTAAAACAATGGCCCACAATTCAGCTGAATAACTTCACTTTTAAAAATTAACCAATAACTCGAATGGACATAAAATATTAACCTCATGTAGTGTTGTTAGCTTTGCAATTTTTCACCTCATGTAATTTTTCTCTATCTCACAATTTTAACTTCAGTTATTTTCTTTGCTGTATAATTTAAATTAAACATAAATTTTCATGCTCTGCAGTTCCTAACCTCACGTAATATTTTTATCTGCACAAGTTTTACTTCACACCAGATTGTTTTTTGTTTTTATAAATCTTTGCTAAGTTTTTTTTTTAATGTAAATATTTTGTTGATTTGTTGCTTCCATTATATAAATTATCTGATGTCCAAGCTTAATCTCAGAGAACAATTCTTTGCTGTTTCAAATTTCACGCGACCGTATGGCGAATTCAAATGTTGTTTATTGCTTTTTTTTGAAACCTTAACACTTGTTCAGTTATAGTTTAATATCAAGGTTACAGAAAGAGAACATTTAAATAGAATTTAGGTAAATAATAGAGAAACACGTGGCGGAAGCGGAATGCGCGGTTCCCTCTCGAGCTGGCGGTCGCGCCATCTGCACAAAGGATGCAGACCTAGGAAAGAAGTCAGGGAGGGTCGGTATGACGTGACGCTGCCGGCTTGGCCCAATAGCCGGGACCCAACCACTAACTAGTTTGCGACCGTAACGGCCTGCTCGTACGGCATGTTCGTAATGGAAGGGTGCTGTGCGGCAGTGCTTGCAGATAGAATAGAATCACCGTCGTGGAGGGAGAGCAGCCACAACCAGGAGCCCCAAACTCCGTTCGTGTTACAACGCCCCCATGGGTATTTTTGCTGTGCTCTAGAATGAAATTGATATAGTTCGATCGCCATACACTTATAGCGTTCTGGTGCCGCTGTCGCTGAATACAATTTTATTAAAATTTTGTTCTCTTGTTGACTGCCATAAATTTAAGTTTGCCGCCACACGTCCGTAATAGCTTGTGTATTTGCATCCAGTTACTTTAATTCAGAGTTTTTTGTTTTTATTAAATTTGTGATTTTCAAGTATTTGCATTGATTCAGAATGTTTAATTTAATTCCGTTCAAAGTTATGCAAGTTTTTTTTTGTAGCTGAGCATTAAGAGGTGTCTTCAACCGACACAACTTTGTCGCAGCTATTTTTTTTTTTCTTTTGTCAGTTGAGGAATAAATGATTTTGTGTCCTCCATATATTTTGTGTATTATTTAGCGGTACTTTTCCAACCTTGGGGTCCACCACTTGCATCTGAATGCATTCCGCCACAAAAAAAAAATGGTCTAAAGAGTTTAGACAGTACTTCCCTCGCTGTCGGAAACTTGACGACTGCATGCCTATTGTGTTTTTTTTTTCATTACATTTTTGTAGTGGGAATTTAAAAAAAATTGCGATGACGTCATCAACATTTTTGCAAGGACACGTATATCAGTTGGGATAGATGTAGTGTAATACTAAGAATAAAATTATTGTATTCCCAAATTTTCGGGAAAATGAATTGGGTCGTTTTAAATACTGATTTGTTATAATCAATAAAATAACGAAACAATTTACTCACGTATACGGCGCCGGCGTGTAATATGAGAGGGAACTGAAAATCGTGTATGTATAAGCATTCTTAATTTAAGATGACAAGCGTAACAGCATACGTGAGAGTCAAACAGAGAAACTGTAAACAAAACGACCATCGGTTTTATTGCTTCGACTTCCGCTTATTATATAAAACATTGGGTTTTATTTTAATTTTTGACAGTGGAATTCACAATTGGTTGATTATAAATATGTCTATACCACATTCGCGGAACCTAGTCAGCGCACAAAACAAATGCACGTCTGTAATGTTAAAGTAGATGTAAATAAGCGTGTTACCCTTATGTTTCAACCGAGTTTTTACTTTAAAAAATTTTGTGTCTACCAAATTGGGTTGGTCCAATGTAATACTAATAATAAGTGTTGCCTTTAATTTGATCAATAAAATAAATTGACTTCATTAATTTTTTTTGAGCCACCTCTTAAGAAAATCTAAAAAATATGAATGGAATGATAAATCACAAGTACAAACTCATCATCTTTTTTGCATTTTAGATAGGATTTATTTAGCAAAATTTAAGGGTGACGTCACCAATTTTTTTAGGAGGGATGAACAAATACATTTTGAACAAAAGTTTACCATGCTTATAATAACTTTAAAATATCTCCAAGATTTCAAAGCATTCGGTTTTGTAATTCCTGATTAAATCTATAAAATAAATTCACGCATTCATTAAGTTTTTTGAGTCAGCCTGTATATGCAAATCGAAAAAATTTGAATGGAATGATAAATCACAAGAAGAGACTCACCATATTCTGTACATTTTAGATAGGATTTATTCAGCAAAATTTTGTGGTGACGTCATAAATTTTTTAGGAGGGACGACCAAATACATTTTGATCAAAAATTTACCATGCTTATGATAATTTTAAAACATCTTCAAGATTTCAAAGCACTCGGTTTTGTAGTTCCTGAGTAAATCAGTAAAATAAATTTTGCGCATTCATTAATTTTTTTGAGTCACCCTGTATATGCAAATCCAAAAAATATGAATGGAGTGATATATCACAAGTACAGACGCATTATATTTTGTACATTTTAGATAGGATTTATTCGACAAACTTTTGAGCTGACGTCATCAAGTTTTTGGAGGGGACAACCAAATATATTTTGACTAAAGATTTATGATGCTCTTTAGAGCCTTAAAACATCTACAACATTTCAAAACATTCGGGTTAGTAGATTCAAAATTAAATTGCAAAATGTTGTTTTATAATTTTGATTTTTTTTTCAAAAATCTGGACGTTTCGGGTAAAAACTCAATTCGGGGTCGTAAACTACATGTGTAGGACTATGTTATTTTATACAATTTAAGACCCATTTACTATGTACAATTTTGAAGTGACGTCATCGCATTAGTGGTGGGGATGATTAGACAAATTTTGGTTAGCGTTTTACCATCTACAACGCTATTTCACAACAATCGGTCCGGTACTTTCGGAGATTATCTGTCTAATAAAAATCCGGGACGGCAGACAGGCGGACAGACGGACAGACAGACGGAAATGGGAGACCTATTTCTTCGTCTTCTAGGGGTCATGAAAGATCGAGAAAACGTAAAAGTAGAGAGTCGGCCGACGGACTCGATTACAATACTTCCTTTGCTTACGCTCGGGAAGTAAAAATCAATGTAGGATCCCATTTTGTCAAACGATCACAGCCAAGGTCAAATTTTTTCATTTTTCGCGGGCTTTAATTTTTTTCACATGTCAATTTAGGGCGGAATGTTTGGGATATCACAACACTAACAGAATCTTGCCAGTTAATAAGAAAAGTAGACGAAAATTCCTGAAATAATCCATAAAATAAGTGTGTAAAAAGTATATGTATTACGGAAATGTAGTTATATAGTCAGAATTTATTTTTTTTGAACAAACACTATTAAAAGTAGGCTTTCTGACGTCTGTCACGAAACGTGTCACTTCATGACACTGGTGTTAAAACTGAAATTACTTTTAAGACAAGTGTTAAAGTAAAAAATCGGCTGTAAGCGATCTCGTACTGCTGCCTCTACTTCGTCGGGAGCAAATCCAGCGTAGCTCTCTCAGTGCTTCTTCGATTTTGTCTGGCACTGCATCGTTTTCTTCACTATTCATGCTTGTAAACATTTATGGAACGTTTTGTTTGTAACCATAGATTTGTAACTAAGAACAAACTGACAGTTTCTATAACTTTGTTCACATCCATCTACCCCGATGTTAAAATTAGTAGGTGTATAAAAAGTGGTGTATGATATTCATGCTAAAAGTGATTTTATTTTTGTTCGTGTGGTTGGGGAATCCCACTTTTAACATTTATATCATAAATAACAATTTTTGAGTTGACGTCATCCGATTTTGAGCAAGCTTACACGATTAATTTTGAAATATGTAATGTCATCTCATACCATTTCTGTCCTGCAGAATTTTATGAAAATTAGAAGAACCGTGCCGGAGATAATAAAATAAATTGTGTCAAACTTTTTTTGAAACGGTGTGGGCACCAGACAGAAAGAAAAAGCACGATCAAAAACAACCATGGATTTTTGAAAGTATGTCTTTGATCGTTGCATTTTCAACTCAAACTTTCAAATTAACGGTAATCTGACAAGACAAAATGTCTATCAAAGACAAATCTTTAAAAAAATCCATGCTTGTCTTGCATCGTGTTGTAAAAATTCGGGTACTATTACATAATCTTTTTTTTTTCTCTTTTAGACGTTCTGTTCAGTGGAACTGAAATGGGAATGAACTTCTTCTTAACCTCTTTAAATTTGGGCACTTGAGTTCTAATTCTGGTTTGGGTTCCTTTGGTTTAAAGTTATCTATAAAATATGAGGAATGAGGAAATTTAACAATCACTTTTAAACATTCAGAATATCAAACGAACAAAAATTATGTCCCAAGCTTTATATTACATTTTTCTCATCGTCGCATATAAATAACAAATATGTATATCAAAAAATTATAAACCAAAATATATGTGAAACGAAATAACGGTATATTAATACTGCAAACGGAAAAGAAAGCAAACAATCTCAGAAGCATATAAAAAAATGCAGTAAATATCATTGTGCTACAAAAATATATTGTTTTGGTCTTATTTCAAATAAACACATAAATACAAATACAACGTATGTATAAATTATTTTGGTATCAAAGGGGACTTTGAGAAGTCAAAAAAGTCACCTCACTGTGATAACAAAGCGGCAAAACAATTAACAAAAGTAATTTGACAACCATTCTTGATACCAAAATCACTTATGTACACGTTGTATATTTAAACATCATCTGGTTTAGTTTTATAGCAAACATAAGTATTCCAAAACAAGGCAACTACTTGCGCGTACAACACTTGGTAATGTAAAGGCATCAGATAAAAGTTAATTAACTGTACAGCAGGCCAAAGTTTATAATTAGCCTTTAATATGTCAGGATATACTTCTATCATTTTTTTTTTAGTTTCTTGGAATGTGTGTCCCTGAAATACACAAGAAGAGATTACAAATCCCGCAATTCCAAATGGTGCAAAGCCAAGCTGATCTAAAGCCACTTTTTTCAATCCATACCATTTCCCTTCCGCTCCTACGTACTTGTGTAAAACTTTGTACCAAACCGTCAAAACAGGTCCCTGTAATACCGTTTACGTATAAACAAAACACGAGGTGAGTAATATTTCATAATTTTCTATTTTATTTCGTACTTACCAAGTAAATCGCACCCACACAAAAGTATTGCACTGTTCGTTTGTAGTTCGCTGTTTTGAGATTTTTTTTTTCTACTACGACTTGCGAGATTGCATCTCCGGCGCTGACAAGAATGCCTGTTTGTATAGCCTGTACAATCACAGGATGTCGATGTAGAGCAGAACGGTATGCCTTAAATATCCAATGCATGTTAAAATTTAGATGTTGAGTTTGAAAAGTGTTTTCTAGTTGTCAAAACATGCTGGAGAAAAAAATGTTATCAAATTTTTTTAGGTTAGATGTCATTATGTCAAGTTCATTTTCATTTCTTCAGGAAACGAAATACAAACACGAAGTAGCTTAATAAGCGTACAGTGATGCCATCTGTGAAGTAACTAAGAAAGAACGAATTTAAAAAACTTGTTTCTTGTTTCCGTGTTCCTTGTATTTAATATTATTTTAATAGAGTTGTTTTCCATTTAATTTCATTAATTCAGACCCGTTTTGTACAGCGTACATAGATGCTGTGCGTGACTAAAATTAGATTTAAAATTTCTCTAAGAACATGATAAACTCAATATCTGAACGTCTGGAGCTCAATGATAATTGATAAGAAACCCGGATAGCATATTCAATACTTGAATTTTTATTTCTATTTTCGGCACAATTACAATAAATAAGCACGTTTTCAAATAGTGGTAAGAAAACATTTTGATTTATAAGTTCATACGTGATAATTAAAGAGAAACTTAACTAAAATTTAAACTTTTAAATAAATAAATTGTATTAAGAGATATAATACGTAAGTACACAACATGAATTTTATCATTCAACAGATAAATGTCGACGTTATTAAAAAAACAAAAATTAGAACTTTTGTGTGGACGTTCCAAAAAGGTGTGGACGTGTGAAAGATTGCCAAATATTTTTCTAAGCGTAACTGTAGCCAAAAGTGGGCAAAAGTCACAAATATCGAAATTATGTCAGTGTCATTTTTTTAAATCTGGTCATTTAGCTTTATCCTTAGTAAATTCATGTAATAGTTACCTTGACAGTAAAAATCAACGTTTGTGGATTTCAGGTAAAACCATCGCAACTTTGTATAAATCTTTCTTGGTAACTTTACGGTTTTTTTCCACACCATTATCGAAAATGATAAGCAGACTAATAATCTCAAGAAATCTTTTAAGAAGAGTAAATACGCTGAATTCAGCGCGAGCTTTACATTCCCTGTCGAAAGCAAAAAATTTTCCAAAAGTGTTTCTTATCGCAACGTCATATCCTCTTTCAAAAGACTACAACAGCTTCATGGAAGATTTCGATTTAAAACTCAAACAAGCTTGTGAGCTTGGAGAGTCCGCTATTACGGAATTAATGAATATGTTACAGAAAGCTGTTAAAGATGTTACCCAAGCTTATAAGGAATCTCTTAAAAAGCAAATTAGTCTTATTGCCGAAGCCACTAAGGCGGGGGCTTCATCACCAAAATGGGACGATTTACCGCAATTTCGAACTCAGGCAGCAGAAATAAGCCAACAGTTTCAGGACCTTGTAGCTACGATTCGCACTTTAGGAGAAATAGCTCAGAGTGAAACACTAAAGTACATAACTCAACAAGAAAAGCACTTTCAGCTTTTATCAAAAAAACACAAGGAGCTTGAGAAAATAATAACTAAACAGATGGAAGAAATAAAAAAACTAGAAGAGAAGTTGTTGCAGAAAAATCGCGAAAGTATTGAGAAGACTAAATAGCAGTTGTTTATTATTAGTCTACTTCATCGTTCATAATCAATACTAAATAAAAAAAGAAATTTTTAAAAAATTTCGGACTTATTTGCCGTAGGAGCCTCTAGAGAACCGTAGTTGTATTAAGTAATATTTGCGGTAATACCAAAACACCACAACTTGTTATTTTTATATATTTTTTCTTTTATAGATATGAGCACACAAAGGGGTAACAACCAAAGGAGTCGTCCTCAAAAACATAAAAACCAAACGTCTTTCAAAAACAACCTTCACGACACAAGTCAGCGAACCAAGCTTATCAACAACATTCAAGTCAGTGATGTTTGTGTGAAGTGTAAGGGGATTATAGAGTGGAAAATAAAATACAAAAAGTACAAACCTCTGACACAACCTAGAAAATGTGTTCGTTGCAACCAGAAAAATGTCAAACAGGCTTATCATGTTATGTGTACGGACTGTGGGAAAAAGCTGGGTCTTTGCACAAAATGTTGTGAGCTCAAAGAAGTGGTAACCGGCAAGCCAAATGATCAGGAACAACTTAAGCTGGATAACGAGATGAAAAACTTGTTGCAATCTTTACCGGAAAGAAAAAGAAGGACATTTTTAAGGTATCTGAGTAAAAAAAATGAGGAAGGGGACGAAGCGAAAAGTGAAGAGAAGCAAAAAGAGGATTTAAAAAATAAACTAGAGGCTCTTAGAGCAAATGATAGTGCTGATAAAGATGATCTAGACTATAGTGATTTCGACGATTTTGATTCATCTGATGAATAATTAATTTGCTTTTTGAAAGAATATTTTAACGATTTTATTGCCGATGTCCATAAAAACGCTCATGTTCACTTTTTAAGTTATGCTCAAAAAATATAATGTAAATAATGTAGTTAAATACCTATAAATAAAGTTACATTATTAATTATTACATTTATTTGTCAGTTCAGGGAAATGTTTACCCTTATACCAACTTGAATTAAGGGTGTGTAAATGTTAACGAAATACATATGCAGAAAGTTGATGTTGAAATCAAAGTACAGTGGCGCCCAAAATAAACTAGGACACCTCTTGAAAGGATTTTTTCAAAAAATTTAATTGTGTAAATTGATATTCATTAATAACGACATTTAAACGTTAATACAGATTTGAAGGTTACACTAGGCAAAAAAGTGTCTTTATTTTGCCCGCCACTGTATTTTAAATATTACGCTATGAGTACGCTGTGCATGTAAAATATTCCATAGATGGCGCAACAAGCGCTATTGTCAACTGTCAATTAATTGTCAAAATAGAGATTTTGCGGCGCTTGAATTCTATCCTGTAACCTTGTCTGTAAGCTGAAAATTATAATTAAACAATTGAAATGACTTCTAAAGAATCAATGGAAATGGAAGTTGACAGTTCGGCTCCTGCAGAGGTTGTGAAAAATCCAGCAGAAGGATCTGAAAAGGGTGTAATGGCAGGAGGAGCAGTTGGATCAGTAACCTGTTCGCTGCATCCACTAGTTATAATGAATGTATCTGAACACTGGACGCGAGAAAAAGCTCAAGAAGGATCCGTCAAACAAGGTAAGTTCGATTAAAGGCCACACAACTGTATAATAAAGCTATATTTTTTAGTAATTGGAGCTTTAATTGGCAAGCAGAAGGGTCGTAACATTGAGATCATGAATTCGTTCGAGCTGGTTTTCAGTGTCATAGGGGGTGACGTTATTATAGATAGGGATTATTACACCATGAAGGAGGAACAATGTAATTTAGACAGCCTTTTAGAGTATAATTACTCTTATTATTTTTTTAGTTAAACAAGTATTTAGTGACATGGATTTTATTGGTTGGTACACTACTGGTGATATCCCAAGTGGTACTGATATCAAGATTCATAAACAAATTTGCGACATTAATGAATCTCCAATTTTACTCAAACTAAATCCATATGACAAAAATATTGATGTAAGCAATGATGAGTTAAAGTAGAGTCTGCCAAATAGTGAACATTCACTTTCTGTTTCCAAAAATACTCACTGAAAGCTCTTAATAAACAAAGTGGTGGTTAACAACACTTACCTGCTTTTGGGTTGCTTGTTTGAAACCTAAACTGTGTATATGTACGTCACATTCATAGAACCTTTGTTCTGTTCAGGATAACAAATAATATAAAGTCAATGTTCACAATTAGGGGACTTTTACAAGATACGTAGTTATAAAATTATCAACTTTTAGCATTTGCCAGTGGCGCTGTATGAATCAGTCATAGATTTAGTTGGGGGTGAAGCAACAATGTTGTTTGTGAATTTAGCATACACTCTAGCAACAGAAGAAGCAGAAAGAATTGGAGTTGATCATGTTGCTAGAATGTCCTCCACAGATTCCGGAGAAAGCTCTCTAGTTGCAGAACATTTAACAGCTCAACATAGTGCTATAAAAATGCTACATTCAAGAGTTAGACTTGTTCTTGAGTACATGAAGGCAGTTCAGAGTGGTCAGTTGCCCACAAATCACGAAATTTTAAGAGAGGCATATTCATTATGTCACCGCTTACCTGTTATACAGAGTGCCAGGTTTCGACAAGATTTTTATAACGTGAGTATTTTTTATTATTTTACAGTGTATTAATCGGCTATTTTGTAGCAATGTAATGATGTGGGTTTAATGACATACTTAGGTACCTTAACAAAAGGCTGTAATGATCTCAATCAGTTTGTAAATAAATTTAATATTTTGTATGATCGTCAGGGATTGGGGAGGAGAATGAGAGGCATTTTCTTCTAAAAGAACAAGTACTTGATGTTGATGTGTTCTGTATTTAAAGTTTCTATTAAACAATCCTTCATTATTATAAATTGTCTTTTATTGTACATTTTTGCAGCAGTTTATATCAAAAAGTAGCATATAAAAGGCATTGATGTTTGTATCAAAAGTTGGGAAGACTGCTTTTTTTAAGTTGATGTATACTGCCATCATAAATTTGTCAAGAAGTTTCTACAAGGTATACTAGTGTTTTTATAATTTGAAACATGCATACAAAATGTGATCACTTGAATGTGCTCGTTCAATATTTGATCAGCTGCTACTACTATCCTTAGCTTTTTCACATTATGAGGGCAGTATAGAATTGATACAGAGAGATTTGGATGAAGCTATCACAGTATTAAAAGTTTTAGATAATTTGGAAACGTAATACGTAATATAAAACTCATAAACTTAATCAAAAATGGAACACCATGTTTGGCGCCAGTTTTCGACATCCTTTGAATGACATTAAATCATCCAAAAATCGCTCTGCATGTAATATAGTATGTAGACCTAAAATATAATCATTTTGTAGCACAAGTAGCACTCGTTCATAAAATATAAACTTTTTGTACATTTTTAATTTGCTGAGTGCACAAAAATCAACAAAATAGTACAGAAAGTAACTCTAAAAAGGGAAGTTTACTTTCTTTTTTCAGTGTATATGTGAAAAAATACTTAATATCTACTTAAAAATTGTTTAAATTTTCTAACTTCCCATTAACGTATTTACAGCTTCGCATTGTACAAACCGTTCGCTCTATTACAACGTGCAGTTGACTTTTAATACCAAAAATTAAGAGTTCTCTTTTTAATTACAAACTTCTAATTTAATCATAAATGAATCGAGAAATTTTTCAATTGTAAATATTCGCTGCACAATTAAATCCGAACGAACGGTTTACCTAGATGCAACAATGACTAGACAGGCATTCTTTGAGTTTCGAATTAATTTTTCTTAATTTACGTAGCTCTCTCTAAACCGATTAGTTCCTCGAACAGAGTCCCACCATCTTCTCGTCCATGTAGCACTTGATTTGAGTACCTTAAAGTAGCTTGAGCAAGATCCTTGACAGTCCATTTTCTATCGACGAGTATTCTACAGACTGTATCCAATTTTGCTAGTTTTGGATGACCGTAAGTGTAATATCTAAGTGAGGGAATGCCAGCGACGCTTGCCGCCAACCACTGGATGATCACTTTTAGCTGTACATCCCCACACTTGGAAGATCCGCAACCCCAGTTGCCTGTAGAAACCGATTTGAGACCGTTGGATTGTTTTCGCGTAATCTCGGATATCTGTAAGCGATCATACTTATTTAAATTTGTGGAATATAGCGCAGCTATTACAGTGTCTAGAATTTTGTTGGTAACTCTACTCAGCGGAAGAAAGCGTGTTATTTTGGATAGATAATAAAATTGATAAACTACTACTATCTACACTAGGTGTACAAGCTCTTGCATATTGATTATTATCTGCGTTTGTTAAATAAGTTACGTTACATTTGCAAAAAACATTAGAATGAGCAGGTCACTACTTGCCGTACTTTTCTATTTTGTCGAACATTAAAATGAAACAAATAAACATTTATCACTATCATAAATACGATTTCATTTAGCGTCTTTCGGCAACTAGGAAACTTAAATTGTAAAAAACAAGCTCCAAGGACAACTTTAGTTAAACGGCAACTAGGTGTAAAATGTAAATTGTTAAAAAAAAACAAAAATGTGGAAAGACTTCTCTTACAGTCCTTGCAGTCATTAAAAGGTGCTAAAATAAGACAATAGTTATTTATGTACCAAGTTGGTAAAGTGATTCTTTAACGAACGAGTCTGAGATTGTGAGTTGAGCGAGTGCAGCGAGTAATATGCGAGTTCGATAAAGATCCTTTACTGACGTGGTGCATACAAATTTTTATGGCCAACCTTAAAAATTTGTAATTAAAAATAATGGAAATATTATGACATTACATTTTATTATGACAAAGTAAACATATAATAACAACGAATACAAAATTACAATAATGTGAATGTACAACCTGACGGATTATAAAAATAAAGTCCTGAAGTCGAAGGAGTTTGAAGTAGAGATGTACCGACTAGTGTCGGCCGACTAGTCGGCTTTGTCAAAACCGGTTAAAATTGGTTTAATCGACGAAAATTGGTGTCAAAGTGTAGATAATCTTCCGCTAGTTACGATTCTGAAATCGCCGTCATGATATCTGGTCCAATAAACACGCAAAGCGAATTCAAAATTTCCAAAAATTTTCCAAAAAAGTGGTTAAAATTGGTTAAGTATTGTATAAACTGCCCTAAATTGTGTTATTCTTTATTTTTGTACTACAAAAAATTAAATGTTAAAATTATCCAAACAAATTTAACACATTTTTTGGAAAACAAAGAAACTTTAGTTATTTCTTTTATTAAAATAAAACAAGTTTTTAAGGTAGTCAGAGAAATAGAAAAAAAAACGTTGCATTTATAAACCGGTTTTAGGAAAGCGGAACAGTCGGCCGACTGTAGTCGGTACATCTCTAGTTTGAAGTGAAAATGTTTGAGGATTATTATCCGTGCTAATAATTTGATTAGGGAATCTGGAGTAAAATTATCATTGGTAACAAATATGTTATCAGTTTGACTTTCCCCTAAAATCGTCTCTGCGATTTTTTTTTATAGAGTACAGATTCCTCAATATAGGACTCTGCAATATGCTGCAATCGTGTCGCTTTTCCATCCTTCGTGGCGTTTAATATTTGCCTTACTACCGCCTGCATTGTCAAAGAGAGTGGCCGACGTTCGGCGGAAACAATATAAAATGATGGTTTTGGCAAACGCAAATACGTAGCAATTTTGGTTGGTATACTTCCAAAAGTATGGATCCCTACTGGCTGGACTGTGCATTTGCGATTTCTATAAGTTAGGAAAAATCGGTCGTGGGGCCTCTGTTTAGGACACAAACCTACTAAATATTTGTTAAATAATTCTATTGACTTTACTTTTCCTTCAAACTCTGAAGTGATCACCAATAATCGAGGCCTGTTGGTCTTTGTTTTAGTCATATGCACAACTAGAATTGTTTCTTGATGCTATATGTCACGTACTTTTAAATTCAGAACAACACAAATTTTTAAAAAATATTACATTTTAAATTTAAAAAGTTTGCATAAATTACCTTCATTGTTCAGTAGATTTCATCCGGCGCATTTAGTAAAAATATAATCTTGTGAAAAAATGTTTTGTTTTAAAAAAGCCGTATTCGTTTCGTGTATTTACAAATGTCGACGTCATTTTTTGCTGAGAAGTACGGGCAATGTAAAACATATTTTAAGCAGATAACCAACTGGAAACAATAATAACATACTTAACTTCTTGTGTTTATGTCTATACATCGAAAGAATGTCACGTAGAAGTTTATTGCTTGATATGAATGAGTTGCGACTGAAGACTGAACTGAAAATGATTTATGGTACTCGTAATTTAAGACAAATAGCGATAACACTTATGAACCTGTAGACGTGAGAGTGAAACAGAAACTAAACTAAAAGATGTTTTCAACGAATTGCAATAACCGGATCACAATGCCGACGATCGAGACTTTTTTATTGCTCTGACTTTTGCTTATTGAATAAAACACTACATTTTATTTTGATTTTCGGTGTTGTAATTTACATTTGGTTAATTATAACTTGTTTAGATCTAGAGGAGGCTTAGCATCCCCTAGCCTCCCCCTAGCTACGGCCTTATCTAGGGTTTATAAAATGTGGAGGAAATATGAAATACCAAATTGCCCATTACTCCATTACTGTACCTACTTAGGTTACCCTCGATAAGAAAACAACTTAAAAGTGTTTATGTTTAATATGTCGGAATAATGTCACCTTGAAATTAGTTTGATTTGAATGAGTTCGTCCCCTCAAAACAGAGGATCAAAACTATTAAGTAGTAAGCTACAATCGACAAAATGTTCTGAATATCAGTATTATAATTCTTATTAAATAAAGACGTTTGTATTTTCACATTTTCGGGAAAATAGGGTGACTCGTTTTTGGTTAGATCAATAAAAAATATGAGTGCAATCATGAATCACAAGTAAAAACTCTTCATATTTTGCACACGTTGAGTAGAATTTATTCGACAAAATTTTGAGATAACGTCATCACTTTTTTGGGGAGAATAAACAGATTTATTTTTATTAACAATTTATCATGCTCTCAATGACTTTAGAGGCTCTAACAACTTTAAAACGTTTGGAAGATTTCAAAACATTCAGTTTTGCAATTCTTGATTTATTCAATAAAATAAATTGACTGATTTATTATTTTTTTAAGTCACCCTGTATAAGCAAATCTAAAAAATATGAATGCAGCGATAAATCAAGTATAGAGTCATCTCATCATACGTTACACATTTAAGATAGGATTTGTTTAGCAAAATTTTGAGTTGACGTCATCAATTTTGAGGGGGGGGGATGAGCAAATACATTTTGATAAAAAGTTTACCATGCCTATGATAACTTTAAAATATCTCCAAGATTTCAAAGCGTTCGATTTTGCAATTCCTGATTAAATCAATAAAATAAATTCACGCATTCATTAATTTTTTTAAGTCACCCTGTATAAGCAAATTCAAAAAATATGAATGAAATGATAAATCACAAGTGCAGACTCATCATATTTTCTACATTTTAGAAAGGTTTATTCGCCAAAATTTTGAGCTGATGTCATCAATTGTTTGGAGGGGATAAGTAAATATATTTTGATTTAAAATGTATCATACCTATCATAATCTTAAAGCATCTGCAAGATTTCAAAGCATTCGGTTTGGCAGAGTCAAAATTAAATTGCAAAATGTTGTTTTGTAATTTTGATTTTTTTTCCAAAAATCCGAAAGTTTCGGGTAAAAACTCAACACAGAGCCATAAACTACATGTGTAAGACTACGTTATTTTATACAATTGAAAACCTATTTACTACGTACAATTTTAAAGTGACATCATCACATTATTGGTGGGGATGATTAGATAAAGTTTGGTTAGCGTTTAACCATCTACATGATATTCCTAATATAAATACAAAATTTGACAAAAATCGGCCCAGTACTTTCGGAGATTATCTGTCTAATAAAAGTCCGTGATCCAGACAGACAGACAGACAAACGGAAAAGGGAGACCTATTTCTTCGGCCGACGGACTCGATTACAATACTTCCTTCGCTGACGCTTCGCTCAACATGATAATACTAGTCACAGCACAAATGCAAAAAAGAAAATGGTCAAGTTTGGCATCGAACGTGCGACCGTAGTTCGACGTTCTCCTAAATAACTCGCAACTCTACGAAGATGTATATCCCGTGTTAGCAGTAAAATGTTATTACATTTCGCAAATGTTTTGGACGTTTAGGGAGCATAGAAATATAGTTTTGGAAATTTCATTCTACCCTATAAAATTTTATTCGCAATAACGAGACGGACTTACAATAGTAAGAGATATTTACAATTTGAAATTGTCCCGTGCTGGTAATCTTCAGATGTTAGAAAGCAGAATAGTCCAGGTTCGGTCCCTAATGAAAATGATCATTATTTTATGAGTACAACTACTTGCTAAATGTTCTCCTACAAGTCCTACACATTTTATAGGGTAGAATGAAATTTCCAAAACTATACATGGTTTCAATGTAAAGTAGAATTCTTTGAGATGACGTTAGCAAATTGTTGGTGGAGATGATTGGCCAGATTTTGGTTAGCGTTTAACTATCTACATTCACTAAATTGTGTAAAATAACATAGTACCTACACATGTAGTTTATGACTCCGTGTTGAGTTTTTACATGAAATATCCAAAAAAAATTAAAATTATAACACAACATTTTGCAATTTAATTTTGAATCTGCAAAACCTATTGCTCTGAAATCATGCAGATGTTTTAAGGAAATGATAGGTATAATAAATTTTTAATCAAAGTATATTTACTTGTCCCCTCCAAAAATTCATACTACAAAAATTACCTTTATTATTTCATCATATTGTCTGTTAACTCGTGTCCGTCACTGCCCCATGTCTTAAGAAAAAAAATAATAATAATAATTGGACAAATAATAATTACTTATCAAACTGGAGTATTCGCTAATATATTTTTCTCATGTTTCAAATGCAGTCCTGTTCAAAACTGTTTGAAACAAATAGGTTCGAACCTACACCCCCCTACCCTGAATGTATTTTTTGGCATTTGGCATAATTATTTAATCGAAAGTAGTAAATATCACTATAGATTTGATAAAAGAGAAACCATTTCTGAGTAATTTTTTATATGTATAGAAAGCTGTATGGTCACAATAAGCTAGAAATTTTCAATTTGACTACAAACTTGGTTTTTATGGAGAGTAGTTTTGAGAGAGCATAACACTTTTAGAAAGTCGTCTGTGTACACCATTTTGACATTTCACGTTTTGTATTTGTAGCAAACCGTTGGCCTAAAATTTTGGTTAGGTAATAAAAACCAACAAATATGTTGATTTCTTTCATTTTAGTGTTTGACATCAATTGTGGTAAGTAAATACCTTCTTTTCGTACAATAATTTTTACTGCAAACTTAATTTGAAATGGAATAAAGAAACTGTATTTGCAGTTTGTATTATAACATGCGAGAAAGAAAGTTTTGAACAAAAGGAGGCTGTGATCAGTGCAGACATGATAGAGAGTTGATATCGACACCGAGGGCAACAAAAAACACAATCAACGACAGCCCTGGATTTTGAAAATTCTATCAGAGACAAATCTTCAAAAATCCATGGCTCTCTTGTGTGTCGAAAACTTTGTTGCTCGGTATAAACGTATGTATAGCAAAGTATGAACGTTACAAACTTGTGATATGTAGATAAGTACATATAAACTGAATATATACAATACATAAAATTGAAAAAATATATCTAGGCGACTAATTAGAAAAGCAAACGAGAGAAACTAAGATTCATAGCACAAAGATAATAATAAGAAGAAATTATTCATTAATGATGAAAGGTCTTAATCCCCTGATTTGTTTGAGAAATTTTAAAGTAAAATAGCTTCTGATACTATTACCTATATATTTTAACGGAAAGCGTAATTTCTTCTTATGAGGCAAGCAAGAATAATATGATCAATGGTTTGGTTTACGATAAGGTAATTTACTGATAGGATAAAACACAGGATAGTATGTATATTTAACAAGAGATGATTAAAACCATCTCCTGCGAACTTAATTAATATAGTAATTGTGTCAAGGTCTGGTTAGCTACACTTGTAAGAGGTACAAATATGTTTTCGCAAGATCGCAAACCAAAGTTCAATATTTAGACTATGTTTACCGGTGATCATTTGTTGAAACCTCCAAATAATATATGTACACATATACTTAAGTAATGGCAACACCCTTTCTCTAGAAGAATTTAATACTGTGGAACTTCAGTTCCCGAGCGTTTCAGTTTTTGTACATTTCTTTTGAACAGTAAACAGTGGCAACCACGTATCCAATTTTCACATCAATCTTTTTTAATGATTTTTTTCCAAAATTTTGGACAAAAATTTATTTCAACTCGTGGGTGAATATTAAAAAGCGTCTTCAAAAACAAGCAGAGTTAATATTAATTAGATAAAATAACTAAAGCGCCGTCAGTAATGTGCGCGAGCACAGGAGAATATTAAGAGTTCTTGCAATACTTCAGTTTATTACCAGCATCATTAAAGAAACATCGTCGGGCATTAAAAAGTGTGTTAAAATTTAGATTATACTTTACAAACTACTCTCTTTCAAGGGAAAAATAAATAAGATAGTAGTTAAAAAAAAGTGGGGTATTATTGTAAAACTAAATGTATAATATGTATGTATTGCCAACAAATTTTTCTAAGAATATTTTTTTCAGTAGTATTCCAGACTTCAGACAATCTGTATTTTGCACGAGCTCCTTTGTTTCACCTTTCCTTAATTATCGTACTTTAAAAAAGTTTTTTTTAATGAGAAAATAGAGCAAAAAGTGGAATATTATTAGAGATAAATAGATACGGAGCTTAAATATTTCAAATCCATCTAAAGATTTAAGAGAACTAGTAACTAGAGTGTGCATTACGTAGAAAAAGAAAGGCATGTTAAGCATTAAGTGAAAAAATGAAAAACGACGTGAGTTAGTTGAAGTTAAGGGGGAGATTTTAACCTCGGTTACCTTTTCTTCTTCGGGTATATTAACACTAAAAGAAACATCTTCTAATGTTTGGATGATAGCTTCACTAACACAAGATATAAACCAAGCCTTTTTTTTAGCTGCTAAATTGTGATCTTTCAAAACACTACAAGGCTCACTAGTTTCTATGTCGCTTGTTAACGATACGTTAGATTTGTTTTCACCTAGCGGCTCTTTATTTTCACTCTGTTAATAAAAAAATCCTTTTAGATAAAATCTTCTCTACACATGCCTTTCCTATTTCTATCGCAACTCTGGAAATTGTATTGCGCGTATACTTACTAGTTGAGCCGCTAATTTATGTTTCTGTCTTGCTAATTCCAAACTCAATGACTTGGCACTTAGAACCAATTTACTTTTCTTATTTGTGTTGTAATCTTCTGGATTACGTGATGAATCGGCACTTTCGGCTAATGGTACAGGAACTCCAGCGAACGATTCACTTAAAGTACGTTTGAGTAATGAGCCGGCAAACTGCACTACTGCTAATTCTCTTCCTTCTAGTTCTTTCTTCGTCCCTTTGTCGGTCTCCAAAATGGGGTTCTGCAACCATCTAGAAAATTGTTCGTAAACCTCTTCCAACTCGGAACTGTACTCTGTGCTGAAACTATATTCAGAGGATTTATTTGATTCTTTTCTGCTTAGTGCGGATTGTTTGCTCTTGAATTTATCTATCCACAGTCTTTCTTGTTGTAAAGAATCCTGAAGGAAATTTTCATCTAATGAATCTTCTCGTAACGCAAAACCAGTAGAGCCGCCGCGTCGTACTCTTAAATAAAACTGTCAAAAAATGAATTTTTACCGTTATTACCTTACTTGATTTGGCGATCTTGAACATCGGAACCGGCAACAGAAATTCCCACAGCGTAACTAGATTCACCAGAGCTGGTAAAACTGTCTGAAACCTCTCTCCTTAAAGCATCTCTAAGACGTTGAGCAAAGGTGTGCCGCCTTTCTGGAGTTTCTAAATCTATACTGTAACGTTTGTGGAAATTTTCGTCTTCGCTACCTACAAGACAACGAATGCAGTATTGAATTTTACCAAAATGGAGTTTATTTACCGTCATCTAAACTAGTTTTGGCACTGACAAACTCTTCCTCGCTTGATTCACAACTTGAGTAAATACTTTGAGGAGAGTCCATTGGTTTTCTAGTTACTGGAAGACACTCTCCCGAGGATCCCAAGACAATGAACCTTCCTCGCCTATTGTTGATGAGGGTTTCATTAGTGGCTTGACCCTTCTTTTGTAAGTTTCGTTCTGCTTCTAATTGAACACGTAATTTGTTAGATACGTTGTTATTATCACATATGGAAGGCGGAGAAGCACTTCTGTTTGTGCTACAAGATTGCTGGGTTATCAATGGAATTGTAGGATCTGACTGTGTGGAGCCTATCGATTCACCAATAGGAGACAGTCGTCTCTGTCTGCTGCTTTGTAAAGGTGGCACGTTTTCGTTGTTTCGAAATTGCTTTTGTTGAAAGGCTAGAAGACACTTGTTGAGTTCCCTCAAAATATTATCTTCCTCGTACTGCCCTATGGGCATTTTTTTATAATCGTCAGCGTCTATACAGCAGATTGTCATCTACATCAGGACAAGAATTTAGACAGTTTTAAACACGAATTTCAGCTGTACCTCCTGAGGAACTTCCAGTTTTTCTAAACAAGCCCGGTTTTTTGGATCGACTATTCGCGAAATATGCCTAACGCGCTCTATTGTTAGCACCTCGTTATCTTCTAAAGCTTCTATATTTAGTAAGACTGTTAATAATTCTGGATAAGTAACTAAATTAATACATTCCTAGAAGAGGGATGCGTCAATTTGGTTTATGTTTGACTGGAAATGGACTAACCTGAGTATTTCCATCACTTAGAACGTTTCCACCAATTTTAGAGCTAGCAAAGCAAATTTGTAATGAATCCGTTTCTGCTCGTTCTAATTTGCCCTCGTGTTTTATCTGCAAGGGACACAAGGGTAAACTACATTCTAACCAGTCTTCGATCGTTAACCATTCTTTACTAGTCATCACCTAAAAACAAACTATGAAGAAATTACGAGTGATTCTTAACAGAGTTACCTGTCGTGAAATTTTAAGGCACCCTTGGGTGTTCTCATTATTCTCCAACCAGTCGAAATAATACAAAATGCTTTTAAGTTTTGATTTTTGTACATTCTGATGTAAATGTTTAAAAAAATGAGTGAAATTGAAATTTTGTAACGTAGGATGGCTCTTATCTGACCTTTTTGGGAAAGTTGAAAAGAAAGCATTGGCAATTAACGATGATATGAATGAGTATTCTAATTCTGTACTATCAGCTGTTAAAAGAAGTTAATTATTAAAGAAACAACTACGTAAAATCCTTACATTGCTGCTGTAAGCTGAAGTGTAAACCATTTTTAGGTTTACATTCTTTTAATTTCAAGGCGCGTATTATTAAGTTTTGTAAAGTTTTATTTAAAAAATTACTCCGTTCCTCGCTAGTAAGATCGTTATCTAAAAAATTTAAAAGGCCTACAAAAATATCAGGGTCGTTTGTATCTTCTTCTGGATCTAAACTGACACTGAAATGGTGGGTAAATTGAAGTTTTTGCTAGCATTTTTATCAGTTCAACTTACTTGCATATATCGTGGATTTTTTGCATCCCTTCTATCAGTTCCAACGTGTTCCTGGTGTTAGACATACGTTTTAAGTGTTTTTTTACCGAATCCCACCAGGGCAAATCACAGGGTAGCATCACTAAAGCCATTTTGCTACGGAAAAACGTGCACATTAGGTAAGTTGTTTATCGCCGGATTTATGTAATTGCTGCGTGTTATAATGGTGTTGCATGTTTCGTTGGTTATGCAGAAACGGTGAATTTGATTATTACTGATATTCATCATAAACTGTGTTCTTAGCGATCTTTGTTTTTTCATTTTTGCGTGTATGATAACCAGTTTTACATATTTATTACTCCTAGAATACCGAGTGTAATATCTTTTAATTTTCATAACGGAGTTCTTTTAAAAAGTCTACAATTGTAGATCAAAATTTTTACAAGGAGTAACGGCTATTTCACGGCACAGTTTTTGTCCTATCAGTCTATATTGAGTGGTATATATACGGTTCTACTATAATGGTTGACAGACAATGGAAAATTCAGAGGAATAAAACACAGATTTTTTGCTAAACTAATGAACTGTTTGCAAAATTTGGAAATATTTTTAAAATGTGTTGTAGGTGGTAAAGCGCTTATCCAAATTTGTCTGATCATTCCCATCAAATATTTGATGACGTCATCTCAAGTTTTTTGAAAAATATATCCCACTTAAAATGTGGAAAATGATGCTTGTAATATTTGTCAATTTATTTACCTCTATTTGTAATCTTACATGCGCGTAATTTTAACGGGTGCCTTGTATTTTATTGTTTTTTTTTCGGTTTTTTATCTTGCTCCAGACAATTGTCGATGTCAAATTCAGTTAAATTCACAACAGTCTGTGACAAGCAGATTACGGTTTTCAAGATTTATTTCGGGAACCTCATACAGAAAAAAACAAAAGCTGGTGACATAATGCTCTAAGCAGGTTTTTATTTAGACACCCGTTACCATTTATTTTAAAACTATAGAATCGATTGTTCTGAAATTTTGCATACTACTTTTAACTATAGGATAAAGCAATTTATTTTATTGATTACATTAAAAAAATTCGCAAAATTCTGTAAATATAGTAAGTACTATTCTTATTAAGTGTTACACTGTACATATCAAAAATGATATATTTATCCCCTTTACAAGGTTGATTGAGACAATCTTGCTTGAAACATAACGAATAAAATCAATTTTTACAATTTATCTAAAAAAATGGACTTCTTGGGCGTTAAAAACGGAATTAAAATATACCGCCTCAGCCTTAAATTTTTTTAAATAAACTCACTTGGAAGAAAACTTATTTTTAATATTCCTGTAGATAGATCAACTAAAAAGTTTATTATGTTATACAGAAGTTATAAGTAATTATTATTTAATTTCCTTCAAATTTTGATTCCTACTGCTGTGTAAATATCAAATTTGTCTCCACAAAAAATTCTTGATGCCATTTAAAAAAATATTAAGTAAATTCATACAGAAAAATACGTCTTGGCATGTACATTACATTTTTGTGTTTCAAAGACAAGGAAATTCGTGTGTAAATAATTTTATAAGTTATTTATTAAGGGACATTTTTCAAAATGGCAAACTCTGAACAAATTCGAAATATAATTCTTTTTTGTTAAAAATACAAATTTTCCAAACGAGTAAATACATAATTCTTTATTAATAGTGGTGCTTTGTTAATTGAAATAAGTTACATATTTAATAATGGGTTCAAAATTTTAAATATATATGTATATACTCCTTTTTTTTCTCTTTGCAAATATGTCAATTTATTTAGCAAAACGCGTCGACATTTGTCTCAAATTTCTTTCGAAGTTATGGTGTGCTTAAGGTGTTTATTAAACTCATGTATGAATTTTAGTTACATGAACCTAACATTTATTATTACAGTAATTTTTAAATAACATGTTTGAAAAATTAAAAATAGCAGTGTGAAAAAAAAGTACACCAAAATTTTTTGGAACAGATAAATCTTTAAATCAAATTAAAACACAGTAACTGTATCATGTTTAACCTCAAACAGTTAATTCTGTACTAAAAATTCAAACTGTCATAAAAATTATAATGTTCCATTAAAAAATAATAAAGCTGATGTTGATGGCGGAGAAACCAAAACAGTCTATAAAATGCTGCAATTTTTGGACTTTGTTTATCAGTGTATAGACCAGTGAAAGCCAAAGAAAAACACTTGCGACATACTTCTAATTCTTTAATATAGTTTTATGCGTAGTATAATTTTAACAAAAGAACAGAAAAAAATAGTGAGCTCATCTTTGTTATTGGGTGATATATCTGGAATTTATAAATACAGCTTTCACTCTCATAGCATGACATTCGTGTGCCAGTCCGTCTGTGTTGATTTAGACTTTAGAGGACACTGAAGAAACAGTATAATAAAAAAGTGAAAAACCAATCTATATTATTCTATTTTATGTAAAATTCGTGAAAATGGAAAATTTGTTTGTACTTGTAAGAGGAGATAAAACAGTAAATATAGTTCTATTACATCTAGATTTTATTAAGTTAATGCCTCACTAGAATTATTCCGTACAATAAATATGTTTTATGTTTTGAAAACAACACGTAAAATTTTGTTCCTTTCTTTCATTTTAAAAAAATACAATTGCTACAAATATTTAGCGCATTCATTGACATCATGTTTAAAATTATCCAAACCTACAATGCAGCTTTAAAAAAGATCGAAAATGAGGTTATTGTGTACCGACGATACCAGAACAGTTTAATTTATTTTTTATTGTTTACTCCATTTCATAATCGTACTTCTAAAGCTTCTATCAATAAACTTAACAACTTTAAGATAAAATTAATACATATCTATAAAAGTGACAACACATTTGTTACATGTACACGTTTGAAAGTACGTATTTTTTTTAACAGTAATGTAAATAAATATATATATTTTGCATACAGGGATCATCTGCAAAATTTAAATCCAACTGAATTTGTCACTAATAAAAATTCACGCTACGTTTATGGGTAAGCGTAATATTTTATAATATAGAACAAAAAACTTGGTTCCTCTTGACCGAGAAAAATACTGATTACTCACTTAGCTCACATTGTGATAGTTTAATCTCTTGATTAAAACGTCTTCAAGTGTATATATAAATCATTATGATTCATAGAAACAATCTTAACTTGTTCATGGGCAAATGTTGTATGTCATAATTCCCTCACTCGAATTCCAAGTTAGCCGGTTTTATAACCTGTATCTACACCGTTCCAAGTCATAAAAACCATCTTCACCATTCTGTATTATCTTACCTTATCTCAAACTTCTCCAATATGTTTTGTATACCAAATGATTATACCAACTAATAATAATCTCGTATTTTTAGAAACATCACATAGCACCTCCGCATATCCGGATTTGATTTTTTCGCTATAATTGCACTCGTTTTTTCATGTTTGATTTTGTGCGAATATCTCTAACAATTATGTGTTTTGACTGATGAAATCTACCGTGATACACATTCACTACACTTTGCCGTCGTCATATTTCCCGAACGGTCGGAATTGTGGAACTGGCAGCCCTATAAATACGACGCCTTGCCGGCCAGGGATGTTCTGGGTATCTTCGATGGAGCCGGTGTTGAGCATTTGTCTGGGCGAGCGTAGCGTCGCGGTGCTAGTTTGCAGGCGCTACGCCTGAAGGCGGCAGCTTTGATATTTGTATTGTTCTCATTTCGTCATCGAGGTGCTCCAAACGCGCATGTTTTGAAAGATTCAAATAAACGGCGTCTACCGTTGTTCTCACGCAAATACACGGATTTATAATGTAAAGTAGGTAATAATAGGTGCGTGGATGTTTGACACGATTGTGACGTCATGGAAATACAAATAGGCTGCGACGAAAGCATTGACGTCACGGTTCATTATTAGGTGGCAGCACGAAATCGCTGTGAACATCTCTGAAATTTCTTTTCTTGGAAGAACCTCTTTAGATTAAGGGTTATAATATTTTTGATTTTGAAAATGTGAGTCATATATTTTTTTAAGTTGTGATGATCGGTGTAATACATAAAATAAGATATATCAAGTTTCACGAAAGAAAAGTAAGCTAAAATTAAAAATTAGAAGTTTGCACCTCGTCGATTATCGATTTAAGAACTCCATATCCTAGAAAATGTACAAGCATTTTTTTCACCGGAATTTAGTATATTTGTTGATTATGGTGTTATTTTATTATCTTATTTCTATTAAAAAGGATGACACTTAGTATATGCACTCCATTAACATACATAGTTAATTAACGTATCAACAATTATTTCCAGAAAAATGAGTCATATGCATAAAATTAACTATTTACTAAAAAGTAAAATCTTTAAGTTAAAGGAAATACTTACCAGTAAATACTTAGGTAAAGTAGAAGTACTTATTGAAAGCCATATCATAATCTTATATTTTTATTATCAAATAAATACTTCTGGTTTTTCCAGTAAATATTTGAATTTTTATGTATCATAAATATAACAACTACTGTCTTCCACGAAATTAATTATTTAATCATCGAGAAGGTTGTTGATTGAAAAATAAGCAAGAAAAATTGATAACATTTTGTTAAAAAAAAGATTCGTTTTGTCAAACAACCACAGACGAAAATATTGGAAACAGAAGAAAGCTTCAAAAAACTGGTCAAAAGAATACATGACAAATTTTGAGGAAGGTTACCAGGCAGAAAACCTTGCAAAAAATAAACAAGATGAAAACGAAATTAAAATAGAAAACAAATAGTAAACGAACGGGATACAAGAAAATTGTTCTTAAGGGTTAGGAAGTGTAGGTTTCTAATAAATCTGTTGGATGATAGCAAAAAAGTCTAATTCCGGCATTACACAGAATTTGAGTTTTTTTTTTTCTAGAAAGTTATTGTAATATTATTATCAGGTGCAGCATTTGCCGGAATTGTTGAATGAGGTGAATGTAGTACCACAAGTGCCGCCACCAAAAAAAAAGATAAGCTGAATCTCTACCGGAAACGGACGAAACAAACCAACAAATGACTTACAAAGGCTTATGCTATTAGAGCAAAAACAATAAAGGTGTAGAAAAGTTCAATAGAGAATTCTTAAAGTACTGAATCATACTATTTGTAGCATGAATAAAATTCGAACTAAGTACTTCATACCTGTATGTATGCCTGGAATTTTATTATCGTTTTTATTGTTTCCGCCAATTTCGTTGTCTTCTTAAAGTACAATGTCCGAAAAGCGATTTTTATTATTTAAAAATTTGGAGACATAGAAAACAAAAAACATAAAACCGTTATGTTGGAAATTTCAGTACAAAGTATATATGTATTTACAAAATTTATACATATCAGCCAATGTTTAAATCATCAGCATATATCAAATACTGCACCGTTAGTTTGTTGCTGATATCATTTATGAACAACGTGAACATTAGTGGCCCAAAAACCGAACCCTGAGGGACCCTTAATGTTTGAGTATTATACAGCGTGTTATTGAAAGGTACATACAAAATAAAATCGGCAATTTGTCTTGAAGTATGGGTGCTAAAAGTTCAAAAAAGTTCAGGTAAAAGTGTTCTCCTTTTAGAGATAAGAATGATTACAATTTATTTCCAAATTCGTTGTACATCTCTGATAAAAAGATCATCTCTCGTTTCTATAGCAACATTTAGTCTTGACAAAAGTTTTATTGTTACAGTTGCTAGGATTTACTAAAATAAATTAATTTTACCTATTTATCCTTCAATAGTGTCTAAAAAGTTTGCATAAGGGATAATTTTCTCCTTATAATTTTGATAACACAAAATAATTTCTTCAGACTTCTTAGACTTTGCGAAGAACTGTCAATTTTGTTGTACGTACCTTTAATAACTATTTGTATTTCGATGGATAACTGACTAATCCGAACATCCAAATGATAAAAAACAATATTTTGTAAATGTATATTACTTGTTAACATTTACCGTATGCTAAAAAATTGATTGAAGGTTACTTCGACAGTACTTAATGGAGTATGTACGTTTCGTTTCGTGTGCTAGCAGAGTGTAGACGTGCATTTTGTCGCTCCGTACATTCGAATCATTTAGGTGAGTTTGTTCCATATTGATTTGAGCCTCTCGTGAATCTAAATAATTATATATACTGACGAATAGATTGGTTTGTTAATTTTTGTCGAAGGAAACATGTTCTATGTTTCCTTCCGACCTTCACATTTTGATTGAGTTCGTTATCATTCGTTTTTCTTACCGTTGACTTTTTTGGCAGAATTTGCTTATCTTCTACTTGACCCCAAACTGGCCGCAGTGTGATTTTAGCACTTGCGAGTGTCGAAAATGGCTATAAAATGCAGTAAATGCAATAGCACCTGAACTAGAAGTCAGAACTATTTGTCCTGTAATGTTTGTAAATCGAATTTTCACAATGAATGTGTTAACATTGATGATGATGCTTACAATCAGCTTCAAATGGAAAGAAAATTAACATCCTGGTTGTGTGCTTTTTGTTTACTTTCTGCCTCTGCCTCTGCTGCTTCTCATACTCAATCCATTCCTTTAGCTTCTGAACTTAATTTGTCTCCTCATTCTTTGAAAATGATCGAATCAATCATTGGAAACCAATTGAAACCATTAACTGACACTATTTCGATGTTAGAAAAATCAGTTAATAATTTATCTCTTGAAAATTCAAAATTGCGTAATGAAATAATCATTTTAAAAAAATGCTTACCCGCCTCTAAACCTTGTGATCAGATAATGTCAGCTGATGCTGATGAAATGCACGCTAAATCATCTTATGCCCAAACTTTGATAAAAAACTCTCAGAAAACTATTATAGTTAAGCCAAAGGGTAAAAATCTGAAAAATCAGTCAATTGCTAAAACTAAATCAGACGTTTTAAAAAATGTTGATCCTCTTACGGACATCAATATTGGGAAAGTGAAAAATCTAAAAGATGGTGGTGTGCTCCTGCAGTGTGACAGTTCTAGTAACTTTAAACAAAGCGCCATGAATAACCTGTCAGACCAGTATGATATTCGTGAAGTCAAGACTATTGGCCCAAGAATTAGAATTACAGGTATTCCTGACTACATAAAAAAAGAAGACATTGTCTTATATATGAGAAAACAAAATGAATCAATCTTTGACGAAAAATCAATTAGTACTTTGTTAAAATATGGCCCGGTTAAAAAAAATAATACCATTTTTCAAGCTGTTTTTGAAGTGGATTTGTTGACATATAAAAGGGCACTAACATTGGGACACTGCCTTGTTGGTCTCAATGGTTGTACTATATACGATGCTATTGACGTTTCCAGATGTTTTAATTGTAACAGCTATGGTCATTCACACAAATTTTGTAAAAATTCTTCTTCTTGTCCTCGGTGTGGTGATAGTCATAATTTGAAGGAATGCCAGGCAGATGTTGAAGCTTTTAAATGTGTCAATTGTTACAACTTCAATCTCAAAAATAATAATCATGACGTTAATATTAATCACGCAGCTTGGGATCATGACAAATGTCATTCGTACAAGATGGTCATTCAAAAAGTCAAACAACATTTGTTTGGACTTTCCATATAGCAATCACATGTTTGTCCTCTTTTCCTCCCTGATAGTCCAACAATACCTCGCTACTCGTGTGACATGAACACCAATAATTCAATGCATGATTCCCCTACTCCAGTTGCTTATTACCAAAATGTTAGGGGTTTAAACACCAAACTCCCGGAAATATATAATGCATTGGCTAGCTGCCATTATGACATAATTGCTTTTTCTGAAACTTTTTTAAACGACTCTGTCCATAACTCAGAAATTTCTAATAATAATTACATAATCTATAGGAGTGACAGAAAATATTCAGATGTTCATTGTCAACGTGGTGGTGGTGTCCTTCTTGCGGTTAAATCAAATTTTGCCTCGTATAAATATGATTTAAATAACTTAAATTTTAGTGATTTACTTGTAATAGATATTCTTGTGGTCAAGATTTTTATAGGTCACAGTATTGTTTATTTTATTGTAGTATATATCCCTCCGGCCAACAGAGTTAGTGCAGCTGATATGGATTTGTTCTTTGAACTTTTATCCTCTCTATATACTTTATTACATGATAGAATCATTATTGTTGGTGACTTCAATATACCCTCTTACTCTAGTTTTCTAGCAAACCCCTTGATACGCGATGCTAAAACAGAATCACTTTTAAATTTTCTCGACTTGACTGACTGTAATCAGCATAACTTTGTACGTAATAACAATGGAAGAATTTTGGATTTGGTTATTTCAAATAAACAAACCACTGTCAATGCAGCAGTTGATATTTTATTAACTGAAGACTCCCATCACCCGAGCTTAGTAATTAATTTAAATAATTTAATTATAACGAAAATGTTCTATGACAAGCCCTTGCATAATCCCGTATTAAAATCTTTTAACTTTTGTAAAGCTGATTTTACACTTTTGTACAACTTGCTTTGTAATACTGACTGGTCTTTCATGTCTAAACATACTGATGTAAATACCATGTGCTTGCAGTTCTATTCAAAATTATATGAGATCTTTGACATTTCTGTTCCTAAGACTAAACGCTTTAAAAAACGTCAATATCCTCCATGGTTTGATGCTAAAATAATTTCTAAACTAAAACTAAAATGGAAATTATGGACACGTTCAAACGACATTCTGATTTGCAATCTTATGATAATTTTAAAATCCTAAGAACTGAGGTCAAAGCAGATATTCAACATGCCTATGCCAATT